CTTAGGTGTATCTTTTTCCATCTCAAAAGACAAGTATAACGTTTTAGAAAATGATTTTGAGAGGTCTCTTTAAGAGTGTCCCGTATGTAAAAAGAACACAAAATATATACCCCACTTGACCTATTTTGTGTTCTTTATTACACATGGGAACAATCTTAAAAAGACCTCTCAAAGTGGTTTTCTAAAATGCTCTCCTCTTTTACCTTGTTTTTAGAGATAGGAAAACACCCAACTGAATGAGATAGGAAAATATTGGTGCATTCCATTAGTAAAGAAGTTTATAAAGGGAACGCATCTGGACCAACCAAGGTAAAGAGTTCTATTTAGAAATCTTTACTTTGGCTGGTCATGATGCATTTCCCTAGTAAACTTCCTTACAAATCGAGTGCACCAATATTTTACTTGCCCACTTAGGTGAATCTTTTTCCATCTCTAACGACACGTATAACGTTTTAGAAAATGATTTTGAGAGGTCTCTTTAAGAGTGTCCCGTATGTAAAAAGAACACAAAATATATACCCCACTTGACCTATTTTGTGTTCTTTATTACACATGGGAACACTCTTAAAAAGACCTCTCAAAGTGGTTTTCTAAAGTGCTCTCCTCTTTTACCTTGTCTTTAGAGATAGGAAAACACCCAACTGAATGAGCTAGGAAAATATTGGTGCATTCCATTAGTAAAGAAGTTTACAAAGGAAATGCCTCTGGACCAACCAAGGTAAAGAGTTCTATTTAGAAGTCTTTACCTTGGTTGGTCATGATGCATTTCCCTAGTAAACTTCCTTACAAATCGAGTGCACCAATATTTTACTTGCCCACTCAGGTGGATCTTTTTCCATCTCTAAAGACAAGTATAATGTTTTAGAAAATGATTTTGAGAGGTCTCTTTAAGAGTGTCGCGCATGTAAAAAGAACACAAAATATATACCCCACTTGACCTATTTTGTGTTCTTTATTACACATGGGATCACTCTTAAAAAGATCTCTCAAAGTGGTTTTCTAAAACGCTCTCCTCTTTTACCTTTTCTTTAGAGTTAGGAAAACACCCACCTGAATGAGCTAGGAAAATATTGGTTCATTCCATTAGTAAAGAAGTTTACAAAGGAAATGCATCATGACCAACCAAGGTAAAGAGTTCTATCTAGAAATCTTTACCTTGGTCGGTCATGATGCATTTCCCAAGTAAATTTCCTTACTAATCAAGTGTCTAGAAATCTTTACCTTGGTCGGTCATGATGCATTTCCCAAGTAAATTTCCTTACTAATCAAGTGCACCAATATTTTACTTTCTCACTAAGGAAGATCTTTTTCCAGCTCTAAAGACAAGGTCAAAGAGGAAAGTGTTTTAGAAAATGACTTTGAGAGGTCATTTTAAGTGTGTCCCATATAAAATAAAGAGCACAAAATATATACCCCACTTGACATATTTTGTGTTCTTTACTACATATGGTAATTTTCTTAAAGAGACATCTCCAATTGGTTTTCTAATACAATCTCTCTTTTACCTTGTCTATAGATCTAGGAAAAGATCTACCTGAATGAGCTAGGAAATATTGGTGCACTCCATTAGTAAAGAAGTTTACAATGGAAATGCGTCATGACCAACCAAGGTAAAGAGTTCTAGATAGAACTATACCTTGGTTGGTCCCGATACATCTTTTTGTGAACATCTTTAATCGAGTGCACCAATATTTCCCTTGCCCACTAAGGTGGATCGTTTTCCAGATATTAAGACAAGGTAAACGAGGAAAGCGTTTTAGAAAATGACTTTGAGAGGTCTCTTTAGGAGTGTCCCATATGTAATAAAGAACACAAAATATAAACCCCACATATTTCGTGTTTTTTTTATTACATATGGTAAGACACAACCGGAAGATTTTGAGTAGTATTGAGCATAAAGTTGAGTAAGGTCTTAGATAACCCAACCCCATAATTGATCATCTAGCGTAGGATAGGATCATGTCATTGATTCGGGTAACTCCTCATAAAGCCCCAGGAAAGGGCCTAGTTATTGGATCGACTGGTTCAGTTCATCCTACACCCTAACAAAGTGTTGGATGACTCCAACAATGTGAGCAAGACATTGTATCATCATGAGGTTAATATTGTTGGTTTTCAGTTAGATAAACTCCCCAAGAAAAAGTAAAGTATACTATTTTAGCATTTGATATCATTGCATATATCTAAGTTGTAAAGCTTTATTGTTTTCAATGCATTCACATGCTTTACTTTACACAATTACCCAATACTCGTTCTTTCTTTGAGTTGGTCCTCGATTACGTATGTTCAGTCTAACCAATGTTTTATTTAACTATTTCACATACCGTACATTTCATGTACTAACACCATTTGGTGTTGCATCTTCTAATGATACAAATAAATGAACTCAGGATTGATCAGACGCTTCACTGAGATCCTCTCCATTATATTTCGGTGAGACTTCACTCCTTTCGGAAGGCTCCAGATTAGTTATTTATTTTATCATTTAGTAGACATTCTAATTTATTATTCAGATAATCGTGGATCTTGTCCCGAAACCTATCTTAGTTCAGCAGAGGCTTCATAGACAAGTTACAGAGTCAAGTAGATCTTGATCTTAAGATATTTTAAAAATTATTGTTATGATGATTCATACTTATATTTTAGATTTTTCAGAAAACATGTTCAGAGGTGTAAATGTTTATCACTTGTAAGTTTCCACATAAGTGTTTAGACTTCCGTTGAGTAGTAAATCAGTCCAAGAGCTTACTTGAGACCAGTAATGATTTATGATTGTCAGCCACATCCGGGGTATAGGGTCGGAGCGTGAAAAAACTAGTCGATGAACTAAAGTATTCTTTTGTTCAAACAAACATGCAGAAAAGTACTAGATCTAAACATAACCTCACAAAAATAAGTAATATTTTTGTGAATTTGAGTTTTGATGGTGGTGTTGAAAAAAGCTGGATTTCAATCCATAAAGTTCAGACCAATAATGATTTCCGATTCTCAGCCACATCCAGAGTATAGGGTTGGAGCGTGACAAAACTGGTCGATGAACTAAAGTATTCTTTTGTTCACACAAACATATAGAGGAGTACTAGATCTAAACATAACCTCACAAAAATAAGAAATGGTGGTGTTAAGAAAAGCTGGATTTCAATCCATAGAGTTCAGATCTATAAATGAAAAATTGATTTTACCTGAGATTTTCTTTGGATCATCCCAATCATAAGCTTCTGAGATCAAGAAGATCGATCTTTGCGGCAAACATATTCATGGATAAGAATCTGTGCAAGAAACTAACTTATAAAGAGAGTGAAGATGAAGGTTTAGTAAGGTTAGAAATACTTAGCTTGATTTGAAACAACGTCACCTCAAGAAGTTTATCTACGACTTGTTCAATGTAAGATTTTTATTTATTTGAGGTAGCAGAGCGTTATGGAGGATTTTGATTGGCTAAAGATGAAGGCGATTGATGGCGCCTCTTCATCTTTCTCTGATGAAGACGATTGATCATCTTCATCTTCCTCTGGTGAAGGCGATTGGCGGCGCCTCTACATCTTCCTCTGATGAAGGCGATTTTTGGTGCCTCTTCATCTTCCTCATATGAAGGCGATTGGCGCCTGCCTCTTCATCTTCCTACAATGAAGGCAATTGATGGAGCATGCCTCTTCATCTTCTTCCAATGAAGGCGATTAACGATGTCTTCCTTTTCATCTTCCACTGATGAAGGCAATTGATGGCGCCTCTTCATCTTCCTCCTATTAAGGCATTTGACGGCGTCTTTTCATGTTCTAGATATTTCCTTTTCCTCTCTAGGTTTTATTTGATTCTGTTTTTTCTATTTTCTTTAATGGGCCGGGTTTCTTTATTGGGCCCGGTTATGTACAAAAATTGTTTTGAAAATAGAAGAGGCTTTAAGCCTCAAACCATTGTTTTTTTTTTTAAAAAGAAAAGAAAATTACGCTAATTGGTCGCAAATACAAACTAATTACCATCCCATAATCCACCCTTGGTAACTCTCTAAATGTCTATTTCACCTCTAAGTTATTATAGAGTATGTCCCCTTCCTAACCGGACTCAATTCACCTTTATGATACCGTCACTGTGATGGTAAACCAGACTCAATTCACCTTTATGATATCATCACTATGATGGTATCATTCAGTATTTCTGTAATTCTTCCCTAAATGTTTGTTATGATATCATTGAGGATTTCAGAAGTGTCTCACTAAGGATTGGGGATTGATTTGATGAAACAATGATTGTTCATCAATTATACAATTTCAATACCATGTTAATATATAAATATCATTAATGTACCATCAAATGACTTAGAAAAACTCACTTGATACTAAACTATGATGATATAATTCATTGTTTGAGCGATTCTATGTTATGCAATAAATTTTTATGGTATCATTAAAGATTTTAGAAGTCGATTGAATTGTTGAAATAATGATTATTCCCCAACTATATCATTTTAATATCATGATAATACATAAATATATTGTGATAGTATCGTTCATGTACTATCAAATGACTTAGGAAAATCTTTATGATACCATCACAATATATATACTATTTGTGCAATTTCCCCTGAAGGCTTAATGTATGACTATTCCTCAGTGTGCCTGTGCTTGACACAACAAATGAAGAGGTTGGGTAATTGACATTTCCCCATTAGTATCTAGGTCATCACAAATGAGTTATTTGTTTGTAATTATTTTATTTTTATGAAACACGGACTTAGTTTCCCATAAAAAAAAGGTCCTTGGTTGATATCGTCATACTTTTTCTAATAAGGGTGAAGAAATAACATGTCGCTTTACTTGTTTTTGTTGTTTACTAAAAACCTGAAGACTAAAGTAATGGTTTGCTATTGTAGTAGCTATTTGATTTTAGTTTTAGTTTTAGTATTGTAGGACTATTTGATATTAGTTTTAGTTTGTAATTGTAGTTTATAGAATTTGCAAGTTTGTAAAAGCTCATAATTTAATATAAAAAATCTCATACTATATATTGGCGGTGACATGTAATTATAGTCTTTGTATTATATTTAGAGAAGTGAGAAGTCATATAATATTTTATGGACACTTTCTTATTGGGTAAATCGAAAATCAAATCGACAACTATCAAAAATCGATAAACCGATAAAGAATATCTTATTGGTTTGTTACCGGTTTAAACTAATAAAACATAAAACCTTTTACCCCTCTGCACTATTTAATATTATACTTTAAAAGTATATATGTGTCCATGTGGACATCATAAATATTGCCTAATTATAATCAAATCATACAATTAAGATAATAATAATACACACTAACTATAGAGAAATCGAAAGCACCAATGCTAAGAAAAATCCAACAAGCCAATGTGGGCACAATGAACGAAAAGTGGAGTATCCACTAATATCATTCTCTTGATGGTGTGTGTAAACCGTACTTGACCCATTATAATCCGGGTTTGACCCATATAACATTTGTACCCCTTCAATATCATCTCTTGACAACTCCACTTTCCTCGTTCCATCTTCAAGTGTCGGAAACATAACCGCGTCTTTTTCGAACGAATGATCCAAACCCAATAAATGCCCGATTTCATGAACCGCAACTGATTCAAGATCCACCATCCCTTCTTTCAAATACTCGCCGTCAACCATCCAATTTTCCTCGCCATCTAAGTGGAAAAACCCTATTGGAGGTGCAAACGCGTGTGCCAAAACCTTCATGGGTCCATCGAACGGGTTACCATCTCCATGGTCTCGGACAAAAAACCCTATCCGAATATCCGCGGATCTATAAGAACCCATCTCTTTAAAAGTTAACGGTGTTACTTTTGACCATTTATCAAACGCCCTCCTAAAAGCTAACTTAACAGAATCCGTCAACTGATTCTCCGGTAGAAATGCATACTTTAATTTACTCTTACTCGAAGGCCAACGTCGCTGGCCTTCGAAAAACGAGAAATGTGCCACTGTATGATCCATTGGAGTTTTGCCCCCGTAGCCCTTTTTTGCTATATCTGGATTACCGCATCTTGGTTTTACCATATTTTGAAGAGTGGAGAAGTCGAATTCTCCGGTTACGTTAAGATTAAAGTTTAATTGATAACTCTTCAGAGCTGATAAAAGAAGTTGATCAAATTCATCTGTAAAATCATTGCTCAAAGAATCATCAATATACCCAAAACGTTGAAAATACTGTTTGATTTTCGCTAATCCTTTAATCTTTTGCCCAACGCGGCAACCCAAGTAGTTGTTGAAATAGTTCCAGGTAGAATTACGAACGTTATCGTAAAAATGAGCAGAAACAGGGGAAACATGAGCTGAAACAGGGGAAGATGAATCGACGATTATTAAAGCAACAATTATAACGAGGGAGAATAGAAAAATTCTCATTTCAAGTTTGCGAAATGAGTAGGAACTAATTTTGTTGAATTGCTGATTCAATTAATTTTTTACTTTACATATAATTTATGAATTTTTCATCTTTTTGTTTGTTGTTGTAGAAAACAAGAAATGCCGGCATGGAAACGAGACAATGAGAAGATATTGTTTTGTTTTTTTTTTTTTTGACATTTTGTAAAATTAGTTTGAATGGTTCTTTTTTTTTTTTCCTAAAAATTATAAATTGATTGTGATCGAAATTGGTGGAACAATAAAGAAAAGCATAGCTAAAATATACGAAAATTTTACAAAAAACTTACAAAGTTGTATACGGCATATTTAAAATCCATCAACAATACTCCCTCCCTCCGGAATTGTTTGTCATGTTGCGCTTATCGAAAGTTAGAAAATAAATTAGATTATATTAATTGGATATTTTAAAACAAAAAAAATTAGATATTCTAAAACTACATGAAAAGTACTATAAATTACAATTTTTTACATATTAATATGATGAAAAAATACAGCTTAAAATGTTAGTCAAAGTTTTTATAATTTGACTCTAAAAATAAAAACCATGATAAACAATTCCGGACGGAGGGAGTACCATTGTTAACTATAAATAGAACTATTCTGAGAACGCGCATTCCATCAAACGAAATCTGTTAAATTTTTGGACGTTTTCTCACACTTGTACTGCGTCTTACGCTTTCTTTTACCAATGGAGCTCCACGCTAAGTTGATGGGCGCCTTCTTTTGTAGTTATAGTTGATTCGAGAATCTCAAAGCTTTTCAAGGCATTGCACCAATATATGTAATTTCTAGATTTATAACGCTTGCTGCGATTTGTTTGGCCTTTCAACTCGTCCAATAGAACCTACAAAACTCGTAAATGCAATGGGAAAAGCGCGAAAAAGATCAGTAAAGCTAGGAATATACTAATTAAGTTAAACAGAGAAATGTGATATATATCGCTTATCATAATTCACATGAACTTTCCTAAGTTGATCTTGATGAGGTGTACTAAAATTCGATAAAGATTGCAACATCGTATAAAACATAGTTCAAGGACACTTGCGAATAAGTACAAAGAGAGTTGAAGTATCAATATGAACGCGATTAAAACAGATTTCTTTCAGACTAGGAAACCAACTAAAATGATTCTGTGATTACACTGAGACAAGTCCAATTCAATTAGTTGATGTGATATACAAAAAATTCTCAACAAGGTTTTTGTTTAATTTAAAAGAACAAATATTTCTTTCTCTTGTATTTCAAATAAATCTACACACGTGTACTTTTTTTTCTTTGCTTTATATTTATATTTTTGTCAAATACACATAACTTTTATAGTTTTATTGTCTTATATATATAAAATTTCTCAAGCGCTCATTATTATTATTACTATTATTATTATTATTATTATTAATAATAATAATAATAATAATAATATTTGTCTTTTTTCAAAAAAAATTCAATTGATTTTTTTAATTCCTTGTATTCAATGATATAGTTACGTAAATATATACTGTTACTAGCTTCTTTATGCGGTAATGGTTTGTTTGTTGCTATTGTTTAGGAGTTAAGTATGTCATTTCTTGGTTTCTAGGCTACAAGATTAGTGGAGTTTGTTATATCATTATAAATAGGAGTAATTTATGTGTTCTGTTATTAATAGTTTTTTTACAAAAATCTATTTAAGAACTTTTAATTGAGAAATAAAGAGCACTTCCACTTGCATATCATTTCCCTTTGATTAATGTTACCATAGGGGAGATGAAATCCTTTCTAATAGATAAATTATTTTTTGACGAACCATTTCAAGAAACATACTGTTTTCAATCACTTGTAGTATCTTCTTTAGTTCTACCAAATGATTTCTCCGCAGGATCAAATGGCTTGATCCAAAATCAAGAACTCGGCCATTTCAATTGAAAAATGATAGAAAATCAAATAGACACTTGTTACGGTGTACATCATTTCAATATGTTTAATTATTTATCGGATAATGGAAATCGTTCCAATGTACAGGTGTCAAATGAATTCCCTATGAAGTTAAATGAATCACTTCAAGAATCATATTTAGCTCAACAATATACACTCTTATGTTATTTGTTGTTGAGCACTCCGTTGTCATCACCTCAATAGTTGGATACCTGATCTTCTCCGAGTTGTTGTACAACTTTCATAAATTTGTCATGAAGGTCCATCCTCCTCTATTTCAACACCTTCACCAAGTTGTTGCCCAAATTCCATGAATTTGACATGAAGATCCATATGCACACCTTCAGTAAATGTGGCATGAAGATTCATCCGTCCAATTTATGTTCTTCGCCTAATAATCTTATAAATAACTTTAATAGACTACTTCAAGAAATATACTTGCCTCAACCCACTATAACAAAATAGGAATTGGTGGCAATAGATTTTTTTTTATTTTGTTGCAAAAATATTTTCTGTTGTAAAAATATTCAGTGACAATTAAGTTGATGTTATTGTATTCAGTATGCTAAATGCAATAGTATTATAAATCTCTCTATTATATTTTTGACACTTAATATAATTAAGTGGTACTTATATTATTACTACTAAATTGTAGTAACCACCTCCAATCCCTTATTTAGTTGAATCGAATGATTTCTTTAGAGGGTTGAACGGTGGGAACCAACAAGTAGAACTCGATAATTTCAATGAACTAAATTCGAAGAAGTGCCCTATGAACTTCAAAAACCCACTTTAAGAAGCATTTACTTACCTCAACCATTTGCAATACCTTCTTTGGTTCCACTGAATGATTTGGACGTGTAGAACTAACACCCAGGACTCGATAATATCAATGTACTAAATTCAAATGAATTCCTATAAACTTCAATGAGCCACTTCAAGAAGAATACTTTCCTCGACCACATGTAGTATCTTCTTTAGTTCAACCGGTATGATTTCTTCTCACAAGGTTAAATGGTTGGAACCAATATTTAGAAATTGACCATTTCGATGTACGAAATTCAAATAAGTTCCCTATTAAATTTAACGAATCACTTCAAGAAGCATACTTATCTCAATAACCTACAATACCTTCTTTAGTTCCACTTGATGATCTCTTCACATGGTTGAAATACCGTTACAGATAAGTTTGGAGAGAGTAATGAGATTAATATGAACGCGATTAAAATAGATCTCTTTCAAACTAGGAAACCAACTAAAATTGTTCTCATTAATAGTGCAACATTTTAAATAAAGAACGGTTAAATTCCTTCAAACACCATAGATTTATGGTAAAATTATGTTGAGCCTTTGGCGTACATAAGGTTTTCTTAATTCGAGGAGTAGAACGTTCTCTACATTCTTAACTTTGTTTACAATATTCTAGTTGGAAAACAATTTAAAATACCATAAACTATAGAAAACCGTTAAAAATATCTTTTTTTTTTACTTATTTTGCTTAAAAATATCCTTATATTCATTTTTTGGTTTAGTTATACACTTTCTGAGTCACACTCTATCTTAACAAAGTCCTTAATACCAAAAAATAAAAAAATATATATATTTCTTTGCATTTTACGTGATTACACTGAGACAAGTCCAATTCAATTAGTTGATGTGATATACAAAAATTTCTTAACAAGGTTTTTGTCTAATTTAAAAGAACAAATATTTCTTTCTCTTGTATTTCAAATAAATCTACACACGTGTACTTTTTTTTCTTTGCTTTATATTTATATTTTTGTCAATACACATAACTTTTATAGTTTTATTGTCTTATATATATAAAATTTCTCAAGCGCTCATTATTATTATTATTATTATTATTAATAATAATAATAATAATAATAATAATAATAATAATATTTGTCTTTTTTCAAAAAAAATTCAATTGATTTTATTTATTCCTTGTATTCAATGATATAGTTACGTAAATTCATACTCTTACTAGCTTCTTTATGCGGTAATGGTTTGTTTGTTGCTATTGTTTAGGAGTTAAGTATGTCATTTCTTGGTTTCTAGGCTACAAGATTAGTGGAGTTTGTTATATCAGAATAAATAGGAGTAATTTATGTGTTCTGTTATTAATAGTTTTTAAAAAAAAATCTATTTAAGAACTTTTAATTGAGAAATAAAGAACACTTCCACTTGCATATCATTTCCCTTTGATTAATGTTACCATAGGGGAGATGAAATCCTTTCTAATAGATAAATTATTTTTTGACGAACCATTTCAAGAAACATATTGTTTTCAATCACTTGTAGTATCTTCTTTAGTTCTACCAAATGATTTCTCCGCAGGATCGAATGGCTTGATCCAAAATCTAGAACTCGGCCATTTCAATTGCAAAATGATAGAAAATCAAATAGACACTTTTTACGGTGTACATGATTTCAATATGTTTAATTATTTATCGGATAATGGAAATCGTTCCAACGTACAAGTGTCAAATGAATTCCCTATGAAGTTAAATGAATCACTTCAAGAATCATATTTAGCTCAACAATATACACTCTTCTGTTATTTGTTGTTAAGCACTCCTTTCTCATCACCTCAATAGTTGGATACCTGATCTTCTCCGAGTTGTTGTACAACTTTCATAAATTTGTCATGAAGGTCCATCCTCCTCTATTTCAACACCTTCACCAAGTTGTTGCACAAATTCCATGAATTTGGCATGAAGATCCATATGCACAGCTTCCGTAAATGTGGCATGAAGATCCATCCGTCCAATTTATGTTCTTCGCCTAATAATCTTATAAATAACTTTAACAGACTACTACAAGAAATATACTTACCTTAACCCACTATAACAAAATAGGAATTGGTGGCAATAGATTTTTTTTATTTTGTTGCAAAAATATTTTCTGTTGTAAAAATATTCGGTGACAATTAAGTTGATGTTATTGTATTCAGTATGCTAAATGCAATAGTATTATAAATCTCTCTATTATATTTTTGACACTTAATATAATTAAGTGGTACTTATATTATTACTACTAAATTGTAGTAACCACCTCCAATCCCTTATTTAGTCGAATCGAATGATTTCTTTAGAGGGTTGAACGGTGGGAACCAACAAGTAGAACTCGATAATTTCAATGAACTAAATTCGAAGAAGTGCCCTATGAACTTCAAAAACCCACTTTAAGAAGCATTTACTTAACTCAACCATTTGCAATACCTTCTTTGGTTCCACTGAATGATTTGGACGTGTAGAACTAACACCAGGACTCGACAATATCAATGTACTAAATTCAAATGAATTCCTATAAACTTCAACGAGCCACTTCAAGAAAAATACTTACCTCGACCACGTGTAGTACCTTCTTTAGTTCAACCGGTATGATTTCTTCTCACAAGGTTAAATGGTTGGAACCA